TTAGCACCAACGGTTTTAAGTCCCTGTATTGTCTCAAAATAGACCATATCACCTTTTGGAGACTTCGCAGAGCCCTGGACCGTCTCATAGCTCACTGATATTCGACCAAAGTTGCCTTTGGTGCGYCTGACYTTTGCTTTAAAGGTGCCGATRTTTTCTTCGAGACTTATTGAAGAAGACAGCGATGGCATTCCTAGGATTTCTAACTCGCCATAAGGATAGTCGTTTTCGGCTATCGTCAGTGTAGCGATGGATGGCGATTCTATTCTTCCTCCCGTGCCTAGTGAGACAATAGAAAATTCTATTTGAATATAAGATAGAGAATTTCAAATTGACTTCAAGAGATGAGCGAGACAAATAGGTGGTATTGCAATCTTGATCTATTGGTTTTTTTTTTTTCGTTTACCAATATTAAATAAATAGTCATTATCGCTTTGTCAGCACATTCGAATGGAAACGACCGACTGTAGTTGGATATTCTCCAAGACTCTAAAACCAACAACAACAACAACAACAACAACAACAACAACAACAACAACAACAACAACAACAACAGTAACAACTGCAACAAAACACTCTAACAAGAAGGCCAATGAATATGTTAAAATATACCAAAGAGCACTGGCAATACGTCGCTGCACTTCTAAGCACAATCTACGCCTTTGTCTAACTGACCCAAACAAGACTTCGATAGTATTTCCAGATAATATTCGGCCATTTACAAAAATCAAACTTACTTGAAACAATGGATAAACCTATGGTAAATCTCTCATCTTTTTCCGGTGTTGAGTCCAGTAAACTGGTAATAGTAAAACTCTCCTCGGCATCGTTTGGATTGAAAGTTAAATTACCACTTGTGGGACTAACATCGCTTGAAGCCGAACCATTCAGAATTCTCCAACCAACAACGACCTTTCCAAGGCTTGCAATTTTACGAACAACTTTGAAAGTAGCGCTCGTTATGGCGCCATTTCCAGGTTCTGAGATGGTTTTCGTGGTAGTTTCAAAGCTGAAGACTCCACGTCCGTCGTCGTTGTGAAGAATAATTACTTCGGCAACAGTGAAGCCACTTCGCAACGTGTTGTCTTCTGTCTTTTTTAAGTGAATGCGAAATAGTTTATCATCTTCAGGGATTTTATCGTCTTTTATATTGATAGTAATGTTCTTTGTTCGTTCGCCATCTTTGAATGTTAATGTTTCATCGCCGCCGGTGTTGGCARGTACGACAAAATCGGTTCCTTCGATAGCAGTGTTGCCCTTGATGTAGTACTGGACGGTAAGAGTACCGAGTGTGCCTTGGGTTCTTTCGACGATAACGTCATAAGTTCCAATGGATTCGTTCACATAATATCTAATGAATATTAATATTTAATACATTAATATATTTCAAGTTGTTGAAAAAGGATAATTGCAGGTAGAAGAAAAGAACGAGGAAGGAAGAAATGAAGGAAGGAAGGAAGGAAGGAAGGAGGGAAAAAAGGAGGGAGGGAGGAAAGAAAGGGAATGAGGAGGAAAGAAGACAAGAAATGAGAAGAATACTAAGATCCAGCAAGAAAAAAGGGAGAAAAGGAAAAAAAAATCTTACTTAGTTTGCGTAAAGCCAAGAAGTCCTCTTGGATTGTCATTACTGTTTATAGTCACTTGCGCCGCTCGGTGTGTCCCAAGTTTTGGCGCCATTCCACTAGTATTGTGAGGCGAACTTATGAGTTCAACTTTAGTGATATTCACAATAAATACTTCGGCAATTTCAGGATCACTTTCATCGATTATTTGGACTGGCAGTTGACCACTGCTTTGTCCATCACCAATAACAATTGATCCTACAGTTGCATTGAAGTCTTTGTTCGAAGCGAGGCGCTGACCCTGCTTGAGCGCCGTAATGTTCCCAGTCTTCACTTCGTAATTAACTCTTATTGAGCCTACAAGAAAAATATGTCTTCAGTTACGGCAACAGTAAATTAAGTCATAGGGATGGAATTTCCCATTCACTTCCCATTCGATTCCCRTTTAATTCCCAGTCATTTACCAATATTGTCCCATTTTTTCACTTACCAATAGTCCCATAAAGTCTTGAYACTACAAGTGAGAYTGTTTTGTTGGCCTCATCAGTAGTCAAGTCACGTGATCCAGATTGGAATTCGATTAYGCCATGAGGCTCGTCACTCGCTTGTACAGACAGCGTTGCYGATACCTGGTCTGGAATCAACTCGGCGGCGCCTGATGCGGCGATTTCGAAGGTCGTRATRTTTGTYAGTGTTACAGTGAAGAGTTCGTTTGGTTCTGGCTTTTTATCGGAGCGAACTTGGAATGAAATGTTTGCCTTCGTTTGTCCCTGTTTGGAGAAATGAACGCATGAATAAATAAATGAATGAAATGATAAATAGATGGGTGGATCGTCTATCAAAATTATTATGTACCTGAGAGAACATCACGTGACCAAAGGATGGCGTRAAGTCATTGGACGCGTTTTTCCCATGGATAGTCCACAACACTCTCACCATACCAGCAGCAGGGCTTGACCTCTCAACAGATAATTGAACTGTGGCTCCTTCTTTAGTGACTACRGACTGAGACGATTTACTGAACCCAACCAGACCAGCAACTTTGTCGTTAGCGCTTATAATAATAGTGAGATTACTGCCAAGACCTGGAAGGATACGCTTGCGATTAAAATAGGCATCAAATGCACTGGATAGAGTGCACGCCACATAAGCATGAAACAATTCTTAACTAATTAGCGCCTAATAAGATCTAGTTATCAACTAACTAAGAATTTAGTGAGGCATAAACAAAGACAAGTTTCCTTTCTGACATTGTGTTCATGCCCCAGTGAATTCTTAGTTAGTTGATAACTAAATCTTATGAAATGTTGTTAGTTAAGAATTGTTTTGCGCTTTTTTGGCGTGCACTCTAGATTATTAACAATCAGATAACAAACAAATATAAACATAGAGAGCAATATACTCATTCATGTAAACGGAAAAATTACAAGCAGCTTGGACCAGTCAGCACCAATCGGAACGGGTCTCATGATAGGTTGAGAAAACAATGGACAAACAATAGACAAGTGTTCCAAACAATAAAACAAAACCTAACCTAACAATAGAGCTGCTGTACTTAAGCAGCAATCAAAAATCAGGTTTCGATCGGTGCTGTATTACTAACCGAATAGCGCTCTCCATCGGATCAATTCTTATCCAGAGGATAAAATCCCATTCAAAAAGTGSAATGATCCATTACAAAACTAAATCTTACAGCCGATCAATACTTCTAACCTTTTGCTACCGTTGCACCATTTGTAGGATTAGTCAGTGTTATGACTATAGTTTCATCGGTCTCTGGAATATCATCTTGTAAGATCTTAAGAACGCCAGTTTGCTTGGTAACGCCTGGAGGAAAGTCAAATGTTCCTCCATCTCCTTGAAAGTCCGGCTCTTTTGGGTCAGCAGTAGCATTGCTAGAGGAGTCAATGTTCCACTTAACTGTTACAAATCCAATGGTGCCTGTTATRAAAAAAAGTAAAATAAAAAATAATTTTATCATTCTTGGTGGATTTTTTATAAAAACAATCATCAAGGCTAGGGCGATATTTGTTTCAGACTTGACTTGATCGCATTAATGATCATTAGGGAATAATTAATGATTATCAATAACTAATAATTATCATTAATTATTATCAATAATCATTATTAGAACTAAATTCTATTTATCATTATCAGCATTCTTCATTACCAATTAACATTAAATTATCGCTAATTATTATCGATTTATATTAATTATTATCAATTATTAATTTATTGGCTTTAACATTNGTTTATACCTATCAATCGGATGCAATACTAGACTATTAGTATTGGTCCCTATTACAAACTAATACAAACTATTAGACTTCTTGTGCTTTCATGGTTGACGGAAAACCACTCTATTATAACAATTACAATCTCTTACCTCCAGTTCTTATTACGTCAAAGCTAACACTCGTTGGTGCCTCTGCAACGGTCTTCACCACACCACCAGTATCAGGGTCCGGATTTACCGCTCTGATTATAAACCGACCGTTCGCATCATCGTTTGAGAATATGGTCACATTGGCCTCTCTTAAAGCACCTAATCTTGGTGGAAACTTTGTGGATTGACCCACTAGAACCACAGACTCAAGAACAACTGAAAACATCTCGTGCAATTCTGGAATAGTGTCGTTTAGAATGCCAATTGTTATATTTGCCGTCGTTTGYCCCTCTGGAATCGTTATTGAGCCATTCGATACGGAGTTGAAGTCTTGGCTTGAGATATTTGACCCTGGGATCTGTTTAGTGCTGAAGAAGAATGTTTTATGAATRTGATGAAATTCGTTTAAATAAAAATCAATTCTTTAGTACTTTTCAGCATAACAAGCGAACTTGAACGTTAAACGCATGCAACTGGTGTATTTGCYGCAGTAAATAAAAACTCCAAGACTCCTTCCCCAAAACCTAACCGAACAAGCTCCGAACATTCAACAGAGTTCGTTCGGAGTCCGTTCGGTTTTGAGCTCGGAGTATCGGAAGGACTTCGGTGCAGCTAAGCAAAAACCCCAAATGGCAGTTAAATTTTTTTATATAATACATTAAGAAAATTTCTTATGGTGAAAAAAAAAATCATTTTTGTGGCTAGTGACTTGTAACAGGGCTAAAGCCACTATGCCAACCACTTGGAAGTCAGAGTGTAGTCAGTGTGTAAGTACATTAGGATAGTTGTGTCGCACCTGTAATATAGACGCACGTTACCAAAACTACCTTCGTTTCGTTTCACTTCAAGATATGCCAACGTGACAGCTTGTTTACCCTCGATGGCGATGTAGCTACTCTTTGAAAACTCCACTACACCATGTGGGTCATCATTGGCAGCAATGGTTAGGTTAGCTTGGTGRGCATGCGCATCAATGACAGCTTTACCGGATGTGACGTTTGTTAGAGTGATCTGAATGACCTGAAAAAATAAATCCATAGATATTCACATTAAACAGACAGAAAAAAGCTCGAACCGCAACGATTGTAGGACAAGTTGGATATATTTGGCGCTTGTTATCTCATCCGCCACTTTCATATTATAAAATATCTACTGGATTTGATAGATGGGAATTCCCTGCGCCATCTTGCATGAAGAGACGCTGTATACACCCTTTTAATAAGTCCCGATGTATCGAGTTCTCCGCACTTGACGTCAAATTTATTCTTTTGAAWTKTTTACAATACAAAAGGAATTCAAAAGAATAAATTTGACGTCAAGTGCGGAGAAAACAATACCTCGGGAGTTATTAAAAGGGTGTATACCTTTACAATCAAAGTGCACATTACTCTCACCTCAGGGATCTCTGGTATGTTRTCAGGTTTTATGTCAATCTCAATTATCTTTTCTCTGTATTGTGAGTCAGACCCYGCAGGGAACACAAGGTCTCCACTAGTGGGCGTTATGTCATCATTCGGGGACATTCCTTTGTAGGTGGCTACCCAGTGTACTGTATTAGCGCCCTCGGTACCAAATGTACGGGTGACTTTTAGTCGAGCCCTAGAAGGCTCCTGAGCCTCTATACTAATGGAGTTAGTACCAAAACCTGAAAGGAAATATACGTGAAGGGATTTTTGCATTGATAAGCGTTCACTGAACATATGGAGTTAATTAAGTTTACATAAAAAAACGAGTGAAGTTGCCATAAGAATAGACTTACTCGGCTTGGGCGTAATATTAAAAAAAACTCTTTAGGAATACATTTACATTTGGAAATAAAGAGATAGAACTCAATTATGTATAAAATTGCTTAACGCGTCCCAAGTGTAATTGGATAAGGTAGGGGGGGGAGGGGTACCTACTCACCTATGAGTCCATATGGATAATCATTCTCATYAATTGTGACAGTACATTCACTCGGATATCCAAGTAATGCACCCCCCTGAATGCCAGATTCCAATAACTTGATTGTAAAGGACTCRATCTTTTCGGGAACGTTGTCGTTGACTATCTCAACCGGTACMACGGCAGTCGTCTGACCATCTTGGAATGTTACRTTATTATACACGATGCGGTAATCAGACGATACGGCTGTGCCGGGGATMACAGCCAATTTGATTACAATCTATATGGACACGTACGGAAAATCAATAAAAAAGCGTATATATACGAAGACCAAAACACATCTCAGTAGATACGTAAAAAATATGCGTAAGAAAGATACGTAAGTGAGATACGTAAGGAAGATTCGTAAGGAAGACGTGTAAGGAAGATACGTAAGGAAGATAAATAAGGACGTTACATAAGACAGATGCGTAAGAAAGATACGCAAGAAAGATACGTAAGGAAGATGCGTAAGGAAGATACGTAAGGAAGATAAATAAGGACGTTACATAAGAAAGATGCGTAAGAAAGATACGTGAGGAAGATGCGTAAGAGAGATGCGTAAGCAAGATACGCAGTTTATCAAACGTTTAGGCCTATATAAGTACTGGAGGACGCATCTACCGTTAGCTTACCTTGCCAAACGCACCAGCCTTTCTTGTAGCGTTAACAATAGCGCGTAAGTACGGCTCAGTCACTGTGACCTTGTCAGCGGTTAGCTGCACCACACCACTAGCATTATCATTCCTTTGGATTTCGATTCGAGCCAGGCTATCGCTGCCAAGTACGGGAGAGTTGACTGGTACTACAATATAAGTAAAAGAAATAACGATTAGTGATCATTGTAGAATTGATCAGGCTTTGGCTATGTTTTAAACTTAAGAAATAACACGATAGGTTTTMAAAACATTTTGAAAATATTCACTGCTATTTTACGGATTTACGGAAAACCACTCTAGTACAAGATTAACATGATTCTTACTTATCTGATGTATTTACGAGGCCTATTGACGGGCTTCCTGTCCCTCCCAAAAGACAGGAAGCCCGACAACAGGGTACGCTGCGAATGAGACTAAGTTTTACCTGGGACAACAGAAGAATGCTTCACTATCTCAACTTTGGTCAAACTGACTAAAACAGTTTCTGTATCTTCAGGAATATCGTCCTCCAGTACATTCAATCTAATGGTGGCATTCTTAACTCCTTCRGCAAACTCCAAACTGCTYGACAGTGCTTCAAAATCTTCTCCTGGCCTTGCAGTTTGYTTAAAATTACCCACTGAATCACCAAAGTTGTGTGTCTTRTAGTAAACCCTAACGATTCCATAGGAGCCGCCATTTCTTTTAACAGTTAGAGATAGAGTTTTGTTTTGTTCTGATGTGGAAAGAACTGTGCGGCTGAACTGGAATACTCCATAAGGGTGGTCACTTGCTTGGATGGTGATGTTGGAGGTTATACCAGTTGTGGCGAGGCGCCCTTTGGATACGTTGACGAGCTTTACAACAAAGCT